GCTTTTTCTTCCTTCCTCTTTTCTCTGTGATAATATACTCTAACCTTGTGCAATGGACCTCAATACAAATCAAGGTCATAACACACTTGTTGCCCCACCTTGGGCATTTGTGGCATCATCTGTTCCTCTTGCTCCTTCCTCCTCAGTATTCCTCACCACGGGTACATCACATGCAAAATGTAGATTGGGACCACAGTAATGATCTTCGAATAGTAACCGTTTATTAAAAGCTCCCAAAATCAACACTTACATTTAAAAGGCACCCACTGTGCTTTGCATCTCAGCATGAATAAGCATGGGTCAATAGTACAGCCGGTGTTCTCATATCCACAGCATGGCTCCAAATCCTGTCCATGGTGGCCCTTGGGAACTGACCCCTCTTCGGTTTCCTCACAGGTGATCTTCTGTGGGATTTCTCTCTCCTATTCTACCCGGCTGGGATAATTTGCGTTTGTTCTTTTCTTAGGACTTCTGCCCTCGGGAAGCAAGTCCCTCTTTCCCAGCCTGAGCACATTTTCTCAGGGATATTGGGATTGTTGGGCTTTTTAATGCATTTAGCATCTTTTTTTTTCTCACAAAGTTGCAGGGCAACCACCTGATTCTCTGTTCACATTTTTTTTTTTTTGTCAGGTTGCTGTTTGAGCCTCTGCTGATGAGTACTTAAAGGTGCTTCTGTCAACTGTCCAAGTCTGCTGACCCTTGTTTTTCTGTGGACTTCTCTTTTGGCTATTTTTTTTTCCCACCTCTCAAATTGTTTGGGGACACCTCATGATCTTTGAATCAATTCTTGTGTCCTGCACTATACACTTTTAAATGTTTAAAATCTTGATGTTCTTGTAAATTCCATATCCATAAGACACATGTCCCTTCCTCTTTTTCTCTGCGATCTCCCTATTGCTAGTAAAAAGCTGGAGTCTCATGGAAACGACAGGAATATATGGATAACTCAGCTTTTTGCCAGTACCTAGTCGCGTGAAGGTTGTGGTATATAACCCATGGTGTAGGAATCGATAGCTGTGTCCTGTGCTCCAAGATATGGAATTTACAGATATGTCTAAGGTTTTTTTGTCTCTAATCTACTGGTGTATGTTGTGCCCAAACATATGATTGCACCCATATGTCAAATGGTCAAGGTTGGTAGATATACTTCAAGGGCTGCAGGGACCGAACCATGAAATAACTCAGTCTTCTGCATGGTATTTTGCCAGATTGTCGCATTACTTTGATCTGCCTAATCTGTCACAGCTCAAACCACTTTTCAGTATGAATCTGCATATTTCTGGGCAACTGATGTTGAGGGATCATTTCACTTAAAACTGAATTCCAGGGAAAAATAAAATTGTCCCTTTTGCAGTGGGGCTGCATGCTTACAGTGTGTCTAGAGTACCAGAAAAAGCACTTTAGTTACCTGTTCCACTCTCCCATAGGTTCCCTCTAAGCTATTACACCGGCCTTCAACCTCCAGTAGTTGCAGGCCCTCTGATGTTATCAAGTGTGATGCAAGGCCCATAGAGGCGGCAGTCCCACTGCAAGGAAAGGATTTTTGTTTTGCACAGAGATTTCGTTTTTAACGGCTGTCACCACAGTTGCCTATAGTTTTCCTCACTTCTCTAACTGCTTTGTTCACACACCAGAAGTGAAATACCAGGTCCCTGGGTATAGCAAACGTGATTTATCCACATGATACAGTGATGGATGCCTTAGTGAGCAGTCATTATGCACCTGTGCTGTCACAAAGGGGCAGGGAGTGAGTCAATAAATCTGTGCACGTTCTAGGTTAGAGTGGCCTTCAAAGGGCATATTCTCTATACTCCTAAAGGTGAATGCATCAGGGGAGTGAAGGGAGGGTAAGTATTGTATCTGCAACTGGGGAGACGTTGGCTAAGTGAACCTGATGCTTCCCCTGTTTTTTCAAAGCGCATATTTCTTTTAGGGTGGATTCTGTAGCAACGTCTGTTTAAAAGATGAAATCCAATTTAGCTGGAAAAACAAAGTTGGGTAAAATGGAAGCTTTTTGGTTTTTTTTTGTTCGCTATCTCTAAGCATATTGTGTTGGGGGATTGTAAAGTGTTTAGTTTATATTTTGTTACATTTAAACTTATACCAATAAGGTACAATGACACCATGAAATTTCCCCCTTTCCAGATCTCTGACTTTGGCTCTTGTATGGTTAGACATACAAGAGGGTATCCTGGCTGTTCCATATTTAAGTTAAAATAATTTATATTATTTAGTCCCCAAATATCAGGGACATAGCCCAATTTTCTGCTGATTGTGTCTGAAGCACCCTGAACAGACTTGTGGGATGATATAGGCACCTTGTATTTTATGCATGAAGGTAAAAAAAAAAAACCTTTTGTGTACAGCGCACCCCTCCCCTCCATCTTTACCTGAGCCCTCTCCGATCCAGCGATGTTCTCGACAGCCTCTTCTATCTGAGGACTCTTCCTCCTCAGTGGCTGAGACAGCATCGGGAGCCCCTCTGCTCCTCCTGCTTTCAGTCACAGCCAGGGAGCTAATGAGGACGGAGCAGGGGGCGAGGCCAAGCTGCGACTCTATATGTCTTATGGATGCACAGCAGTGGCTCGGGGTCAAGCACACAGCATTCCCTAGGGCAAGCGGCTTTCCCTGGGGGGCACTGCTTGTGGTGGAGGTGCCAGGAGAGCCGGCGGGGGACCCAAAAAGAAGAGGATCGGGGCTGCTCTGTGCAAAATCACTGCACAAAGCAGGTAATTATAGACATGTTTGTTGTTAAAAAAAAAAAAAAAAAAAACTAATTTAAAGTGACACTAAAGCTTTATTTTATTTATTTTTTTAATGTATTCATTTTTGTACCTGTCCATTCAAGATTTATTTTTTTAGATGCTGGGGATGATCTACTTAAAAATAAATTCTCCGACTCTGTGTAGACATGAGGGCCAGTGCTGCACAATTTTAATTTATTTTCTCTTATGGAGGCATGTGAACACCTAATAATGAGTTGGAAAATGGAACAGGCTTGGTTGGACCATTGCCAAGACATATAGCTGGGTGATTTAGCCTAAAGCCAGATAGTGTGTACTGAAATTCGTCCGGTTTGGCAGAAACTGGACACAATTTGGTCCAAGTGTCCCCCTGTCTGTTCAACAGAAGCCAGTTGTTAGACTGGCATCTGTTTTACTATCATACTGAGAAAAAAACATTCGAGTTGCTCTCATCACAGTGCTGGATTGAAGTTGGGCTCAGGTAAGTATAAGGAGGAGCTTAGGGGGAGGGCTGCATACAGAAGGGGTTTTACCTTAATGCAGAGAATTAAGGCAACACCTCTGCCTTTAGAACCACTTTATGATCCATATTCAAAATGTACATTATCTCACAGAAGTGAGTACACCTCTCACATTTTTGTAAATAGTATATCTTTTCATGGAACACTGAAGAAATGACACTTTGCTACAATGTAAAGCAGTGAGTGCACAGCTTGTATAATAGTGTAACTTTGCTGTCCCCTCAAAATAACTCAACACACAGCCATGAATGTCTAAACCGCTGGCAACAAAAGTGAGTACACCCCTAAGTGAAAATGTCCAAATTGTGCCCAATTAGCTTTTTTCCCTCCCCGGTGTCATGTGACTCGTTACTGTTACAAGGTCTCAGGTATGAATGGGGAGCAGGTGTGTTAAATTTGGTGTTATTGCTCTCACTCTCTTATACTGGTCACTGGAAGTTAAACATGGCACCTCATGGCAAAGAACTCTGAGGATCTGAAAAAAAAGAATTGTTGCTCTACATAAAGATGGCCTAGGCTATAAGAAGATTGCCACGACCCTGAAACTGAGCTGCAGGGCGGCGGCCAAGGCAATACAGCGGTTTAACAGGACAGGTTCCACTCAGAACAGGCCTCGCCATGGTCGACCAAAGATGTTGAGTGCACGTGCTCAGCGTCATTTCCAGAGGTTGTCTTTGGGAAATAGACATATGAGTGCTGCCAGGATTGCTGCAGAGGTTGAAGGGGTGGGGAGCTCAGACCATATGCCGCACACTGCATCAAATTGGTCTGCATGGCTGTCGTCCCAGAAGGAAGCCTCTTCTAAAGATGATGCACAAGAAAGCCCACAAACAGTTTATTGAAGACAAGCAGACTATGGACATAGATTACTGGAACCATGTCCTGTGGTCTTCTGAGTCCAAGATAAACTTACTTGGTTCAGATGGTGTCAAGTGTGTGTGGCAACCAGGTGAGGAGTACAAAGACAAGTGTGACTTGCCTACAGTCAAGCATGGTGGTGGGAGTGTCATGGTTTTGGGCTGCATGAGTGCTGCTGGCACTGGGGAGCTACAGTTCATTGAAAACCATGAATGCCAAGATGTACTGTGACATATTGAAGCAGCGCATGATCCCCCTCCCTTCTGAGACTGGGCCGCAGGTCAATATTCCAACATAACGACCCCAAGCACACCTCCACGATGACCACTGCTTGCTAAAGAAGCTGAGGGTAAATGTGATGGACTGGCCAAGCATGTCTCCATAACTAAACCCTATTGAGCATCTGTGGAGCATCTTCAAACAGAAGGTGGAGGAGCGCAAGGTCTCTAACATCCACCAGCTCCGTGATGTTGTCATAGAGGAGTGGAAGAGAACTCCAGTGGCAAAATGTTGACACATTGCCCGCGGTTTAGACATTACTGGCTGTGTGTTGAGTTATTTTGAGGGGACAGCAAATTTACACTGTTATACAAGCTGTACACTGACTACTTTACATTGTAGCAAAGTGTCATTTCTTCAGTGTTGTCACATGAAAAGATGTGAGAGGTGTACTCACTTCTGTGAGATACTGCACCTGAAAAGTGTTTTAAAGTAACTGTTGCAAACCTGATCAATTCAAATAATCGTATGCTGAACAAATACGATCATGGAGGAGAATCTTGAGGTTTATTTGATGGTATTGGCTTTAAATTATTTGTTAAAAATGTCTTGCAATTAATGTCTTATATTCTAATATTTTTCTCTTTCTTCTTTAAAGCCAAATGACTTCTCTGTGTCGCTGAAAGCTCAAGGCAAGAACAAGCATTTCAAAGTACAGATGAAAGACAATGTGTATTGCATCGGCCAGCGCAAGTTTACCACCATGGAGGAATTGGTAGAACATTACAAAAAAGCTCCAATTTTTACCAGCGAGCATGGCGAGAAACTTTATCTAGTCAAGCCTTTGTCTTGAGAGCATCTCGTGGGAATTGAGGGGTAAAACTCCAGGTTAGGTGCATTCACCAAAAGACTGGACTCGTATAGACTGGTAACCCCACTAGTGAACCAAAGGCATCTCCTGGCCCTGCTGAGAAGGACATTACCTGTATTGTTACCTTACTCTCACTATGAATCGGATTATGCTATCATTTTATTTTTTATTTTTGCTTTACACACTTCCACCCCTGTACATCTCCCTCCTTATTTTCTACATTCTGCCTTATTATTGTAACATATCAAAGACTTGTATCAACAACATGTATCTTATCTACATTTGGGGTTCTGAGTGATGGGATTGTGGTTTACCATCTGAAACCAGAACTCCACAATTACATCTTTGTGCTGCTTTTAGTGTTGTCCACTTTGTACTTTGGACTGTGAATCTGAAAGGTGTGTAGTGGCCTGGACTGAATGCTGTTTTCACTGTGGATTTAGCCTTGTACTTTGTCGCACTTGCTGTTTATCAGATTGGCACTGTGTATGACTGATTGTCTCCATCTGTTCCTATCCAGGACATTTCATATTTATTTGTTTACAAAATGTTAATTGCCTTCCAGGTTATTTGCATATTCAAATATTTAATGCACCCACATACAAAATAGTCATACCAAATGCTGTATGTTGTCCTATCCATAAAAAGTCATATTCTATCAGTTATTTACTGTTCTGCTGACTGTGATGCGATTGCAATCTGTATATGGTTGATTTCTCCTCAAGCAAACTCATAATCAAATTAAGTCCTGAGCTGCCTTGCCCAACTTATTCACTTAAGGTAATAAAAGGTATCGGAAGTACTTTCCTTCTCAGCAGATTCTGCTGCTCTGCAGTCCAATAACCATATCTGCTACTGAAGGGAAAACTGATGCTGGCCATATATTTTGGCCAGCAGATTTGTGAATGAGTATTTGCACAAAAATTCTGATAAGTACATTTGAAGACTTGGCGAATGTTTTTCAAAAGTACTTCAAAGTTTCGTATGATTTTAACATTTTGTTAAGGGAACGAATTTCAAATTAACTAAATTTAGAACGAACACATTTACTGATAGAAATGTGTTTGTTCGAGAGAAATTTTCCATCGTTGAAAACGAACATTGACTTGACCCCACTAACGAGTAGAAAATCTAATGTTATGATAAAAAAATTTTGAATGAAATTCTACTAGTATATGACCAGCTTTAGCCAGTCTGATCTGCAGATCTGTTCAGCAAAAATGGTTCATGATTCTGGATTTGGTGTGACTTTGAAGGCACAGGCTGTTCGGAGGCCGCTTGAGTCTTACTTTGACTATAGGTCTGCTTTAGTTATCCTAATATTGGTATTCAAGTATTGAACTTCCAGGTCTCAAAGACACTGGATATACCGAAGGGAGGAAAAATGGGAGCTATTGTATATAGCAAAGAGATTTAAATGGCTGCAATACGTAAACTGTAAAATTTTCCATATCTCTTTATGTGAATAGGAATTTAGTAACATTCATGGACAAATATTTAAAAGTTTTTTGATATTATGAGAACTGAAAACACTTAAACTGAAGGTAACGTTGTTAGCATCAGTATTTTACAAGACACGGCTGACTTCCTGTCCAGTAAATGCCATAGAAAAAAACTGCCTACTACTGTTTTGTTGTTTCCTGTTGCACAATGTATGTCTTACATAAAGCAGTAGGGATGCACAACAGAGTTCCCCCGATGTCCATCTCTGATAGAATTCTTAAGGGCTTGTTCACACCATGGTTCAGAGACTTCAGTTTTTCTACATGCAAGGGCACAAGAAAGTCAGTTGTTCTCTATGTGCCCTGTTAACACCACTAAACTGATATCATGTGCAGATTTCTTCTGCAACGTGTATAAAACTCATTGAAGTTTACTGATGTCTCTGCCAGTGGAATCTGTCTGTTTCCCTGCGCGTATGGTGTAAAGGAGGCCTAATCCAGTGATGTCATGTGCATAACAGAAGAGCAGTTCTATTGGATGTTTGTTATTACTGGAGAGCAGTTGTGGTTTCTCTTTTGTACGGTCTTGGCAACTACCAGCACCCTTGGACTTGATATTTTTGTTTGTTTTTTTCAAGACCCATGCCATACCAATAGGAGTGGTTTAAATCTATTTGTGTGTCTATTAAATTGTGAATGAAATGTGTTGCTCTCTCACATAATGTGACCTTTTTAATTTTCAATGTATTTATCCTTTAGTCCTTTCGCTGCCAGGTCTGGACACCGTTCGGACCTAACAGCGAGGGTTTTATAAACAATCTGGCGGCTGCAGCCACCAGGATTGTGTATAAAACTGACAAGCAGATTCCTGCCCGTCAGGCGGCTCCGCTGCCAACGATTGCTTCCTTAACCCTTGGCGATGGTTACCACCCTCCCCCACGGGCACAGTCCCCCGCCATGTAACCAGGTTCCGTTTGCTCATCTGCAGACCCGGGGAGAGCCATTGCAAGTGCCAGCGGGTGGAGGGGAGAGCGAAGGAGCGTCCGCTCTCCTCCCCTTCTTTGTGTGACCTGGAAGGTAACGTCCATATCGTCACTTTCCCGGCTATAATTCCAAGGAAAGATATATTGCAATGCAGTTTCCATTGCAATACATCTAATGGATCACAGAGGAGACATGCAGGGTCTTTTAGACCCTGCATGTCTCAATAAAGAGAACCTGTCACCAAATAATCATCACATAGGGAAATTGGGTTTGATTTACTAAAGGTAAATATACAGTGCGCCGCAAGAGCCCTTGCTTTAGATCTGAGGGGAAGCTCTGAAGAAAAAGCTTTGCTGCTTTCTTTCATTCAATCATGTGCAAGCAAAAATGCTGTTTTTCTAATTTCTCTGCATGTTCCTCTCACATCTAGAGCATCTTGGAGTGCACTTGCGGTACACAGCCTATTTAACTTTAGTAAATCAACCCCCTTTGTGTCCCTATGACATGAAAATAAAAAATAAAAAGTTAATTAAAATGTTTTTTTCTTGTTTAAAAAAAAAAAAAAAAATATGCACCACCCCAAAAAAATTTGAGCCCCCCCCCCCCCTCCCATGTAAGCACATACGAACGTAAACGCATACATCAGGGCACCTACGCGTGAAAACCTTAATTGCAATACACGTTACATTTCACCGCGCATGCCAGAATGAGAGCAATAATTCTAGCACCAGATCATCTCTGTAGCTGTAAACTGATGACCTATAGGGGCTTTTGAAGTCTCGTCTATAGAAAATATACAGATGAAACTCGAAAAATTAGAATAATCATCACAATTATGACAAGTCACGGCTTGAACTATCTTGCTTTGCATGTAATGAGTATCTCATATATTTCACCTTTTAAGTTGCATAACTGAAATAAATTAACTTTTGCACGATATTCTAATTTTTTGAGTTTCACCTTTAGGGTACTGAAGTTTGATGCAATTTCATAGGTGCACACAAATTTAAGGCTTGACATGTTGGGTATCTTATTTACTCGGCACAACCTCGACTTTTGTAATAGCAAAATGGGTGATTTATTGTGTTTCTTTTTGCCCTTAAATTCACTTGAGTGTGGTTTTTTTTTTTTACTGAAATTTTGCATGTCTTAGACCTTTGCAATAATACTGTGTGCCATAAAAAATTGGAACATATACAGTATGTCTTTAACACTGTGTCTAATACCTATGTTTATATGCAAGCCATCTTTCATCTGTATAAGAACCTGGTTGATCCTGCCATTTCCATGTACTTTCCATTTTTGTCAACATCATTGCAGCCAATCCTGTGGTTGCCAGTCTTGGTGTACATGACCCCCACTTTCTTTTGGGAGAAGGCTTTGAATTTCTTATTTTGCTACATAAAATAATTAATTGCCAACATTTCAAGCCATTACTCAACCCAAAAATAACAACTGTAATGCAATTCCTTAACTACTTGCCCTCCAGAGGATTTAGCCCCCTTCCTCACCAGGCCATTTTTTGTGATACGTTGCTGCATTACTTTGACAATTGCGCGATCATACAACACTGCACCCAAAAAAATTTGTCCTTTTTTCTCACAAATAGAGCTTTCTCTTGGTGGTATTTGATAGCCTCTGCGTTTATTTTTTGCACTTAAACCAAAAAAACTCGACCATTTTGTAAATCAATATTTGTTTACTTTTTGCTATAAAATATATCCAGTAAAAAAATATTTAATGTCTTTGCTAAAAAAAAAAAAAAATCCCAATACATGTAAATTGTTTTACGCAAAAGTTATAGCGTCTATAAATGGTGGTATATATACTGGAATTTTCTTTTTAATTATTTTATACTAGTAATGGCGGAAATCAGTGACTTATAGCGGGACTGCGGCAGATTTTCTGACACTGGGTGGGAGCTGACTAACTGCCACTGACATCCCAATGACACTAATACAGTGATCAGTGCTGATAAAACATAAAATAAATACAAATATTTAATTAAATGTATTTTGTGGATGAATAATGGCTTAAAGAGTTGGTTGTTAAACAGTATTCCACATTTCTTAAAAAGTAATTACTTTCAATGAAACCATGTGACCACCATAGTGCCAGTCAGCACTGGGCAGCCACAGGAAAACAAAGAAAACTTCCTAGAGTGATGGCTGCAGGATACATCAGAACATACTGCTTGCTCCGCCCACCAATTACTTCCTGTGGTGTTGAACAAATGAATAAAGGTCACATTCCAATCATATAAAGAGACTAAATGAAGGTATGTGGAAATGTTTTTTTTAATCAGTCTTAATTACTGTATATTTGCTTCTTTTGCTGTACTAGCTGCAGCAGAACAAGTGAGACTCCAAGGCATGGTTGGGAGAGGTGGGAAAATCATGAAGGGAAATATTTTCATTGAGCTTCTAGACGGATAAATTGAAGAGGAAGGATTATTTGGTTTACCAGCTTCTGTTCAGATCCAAAAACAGTCAAATTTTTGTTGTCTGATGACCCTATCGGTTTAGGCTCCTGCAGATTCTCTTAGTTTTGAAAAGT